TCTAAATGCAAACACAACATGCCTATGGAAAAAAACAGACACCATGTGTTTTCATTGCCCAAAGGCATGTCAGAAAACTTTCAGCCTAGCGGAAAGGGCAGAACAAAGAACCTGTCCAAAACCTAACCACAAAACATGATGGCACAGGGAAGGCTGTAATAACCTTTGTTGGATGCTGGTGTCTTCTGTGTGAAAAAATGTTTCCCACATATGTGCTGATGTGAGCTAAAAAAAGAACCAAAACACAATGCAGGATGACAGGATAAGCGCTCATCTATTGTAGCATGCAGGATTACTGTAAATCCTAACCAAAATACAGGGCCAAATTCTCAAGTGATAGCACTGCAGTTAAGTAAGCAAGATTGGCCCAAACGAGAAGTTGGCCCAGGAGCTGCAGGGTGAAATCCCACGCTAATGCAGGCAATCCAGTGTACAACTGCATGGATGAAATGAAGTCATTCATGTGATTAATTTTTTTAATGCTGCTGGATTTAAAGAAGAAATGTTTGGTGAAAAAGGTCAAAGTGTATGTTACTGATGTCTCAGCTAGTCTTTGCTGGCATCCTGTCTGTACTGTGTGGCTTTTGGCATGGTAACAGTTGTTTTGTTTTCCAGCTAGCCTTCTTGGGAGACATAATTTATTTTCATAGATCTTGTAGGAACTTGATATCTCTGGGACCCTTTGCCCTTCTATCAAATTTGGCTGAAATGTTGTTAGGAGAAACATGTGCTCAAGCCAACATTTTCAGATGAGCTGGGTTTTTTTTTCAAGAAACAGGCTATAATAGTCACTTACATTTAGTTTCTTCTTGCTTTTCATACCCTTATCAATATAGTCGCTTGCTTCCAAAAATCATGGCAAGAAGGAAAAAAAAAATCAATTTATGACAAGACTGTCTTGATCAGCAGGAATTAAATGAGACATCCCCTTTCATCAAGTACGAAAGGCTCCACAGTGCTCTATATATTCGCTTTTTAACCCCCAAACCAAATAACTCATAGTTGTGTTTTCATCAAGGCAAGCTGCTGCCAAGCATATAGATCCTTTAAGGAGCAAAAATTTAATTAGACAGCACGAGGCAAAGAGTGCAACAATGTAAAAGGAATGGGTTAACAAAGAAGACAGATTACAGCCAGGTTTCCAAAGAGTCATAACCAAGCACGACAAAGAAATTAAATGCCGTGGAGATTTAAAAAAAAAGTGAGCAAGCCCATCCCATTATTGGAAACAGCATTAAAAACCAGATTACCTTTGTGATGCTAAATACTTCTAAAGGGTGTTCACAAAAGGAAAGACCAAGACTGGACATGGAAAAGAGAAAGCAGAAAATTCATTTGTTATGGCAACTTGAAGCACAGAAGCTTTTCTTTGCAAAACTCTATGGAAGAGCATCCATAGCAAGATATCTACTCCTTGAGCCTGAGAAATGTATGAACAAAGCCACAGCAATATTTTAAACTGTGTGCTTTTATGAGGACAAAAATGGCATGGCCTTCTCCTCATGGTATGTAGTAAAGGTTTCTTCCTTGACTGGACAGTGAGAACATGCAGCGGCTCTTGGAAACCACGCAGCACCTGACCTGTGAAGGACCAGGGCAACTGAAGCTTTACAACTCATATGAAGCAACCTGAAAAGGGGTTAAAGCACCTCTCCGTTCCAGACTAGCTCCCATCATCATTATAGTCCAACGAAGACTGTATTTCATGGAAATTAGCAGAGGGATGTGGGGAGGGTTCCCTTAAATGAGCACCAGGAAGACATTGCTGGGGGTTGACTTCTGCTGCAGGACCCTTTCTTGCCAAGCACTTGGTCTCCCAGCAGCTGCACTCTTCCTCAGCCCAACCCTGAGCAAAATTGGAGGCAGGTTCTAGTTCAGGTATGTTTTCCAGACTGTGGCAGGGAATCCTCTTCATTACAGTGTTGATTGATGCTAAACGTGAGCATCTCTATAGCTGTTTCTGCCTTAAGTAGGCAGCCATACAGGGGAAAGTGCGCTCCTCTGTCAATTAGGGCTATTACGTCTTGATTAAATTCTCCTCCAGAAACTCAGGGAGGTGCATGCAGCAGGGAAAACAAGGAATGACAAGAAAGGCCTCCCCATACAGACAGTTGCCAGAAAGGATGCAACAGCATTCACTTAAACATTCACAAAAGGGAAATTTTATCTAGCTGCTAAAAAGTCTGCAAAATTTTAGCCCAAGCAGTGACCTCTTGAGAAAGCTTTGCAAACCTTTGAAACTGGGGAGGGATCTGCTGCTTGAGACAGGCAACATAGTCAAGACAGCACTGCCTCTGATGAAAAAAGCTGTGCTCAATCAGAGGTGTGTTCTTGCCGCGAAGCCATTTCCCCCTGTCCCAGCTCATAGAGACAAGAGGCACGAATTTGTATCGTGTTATTTGTACAGTTGCTTTCCAGGGCAGAAAGGTGGTGTATTTTTTTTTTTTTTTTATTACTCCCCCTGTAATTCATAGAGCTTGAACAAATGGAGCGTGAGCCTGAGGCATTTGAAAGCAAAGCGTGTTTGTTTTTTAGGCTTTCCTGCTTGCTGCAATCTGTAGTTGAACAGCAAGTTAATAATTAAAGGGAAGGAAGGAAAAACAAACTTCCTGGGGAAGCCAGTGGCCACAGCACTTGGCGCAGCACCTGTGTTTGTGTGCAAATGCCATTTGCCCCTGCGTGCACCTGCCTGGAGGTCTCCCCTTCGTCCTCTTCTGCTCCAGGTCTTTCTCCCTCTATCATAGGTCTTGCCCCGATCTGGGAGGCAAGGAAATATTTGTAGGACCCCAAAGGCAGAGAATAAAAAAAATCAGGCCTCTTGAGCAGTAAGCTGCCAAGCCTTTACCTTTGGCCTCCCCTCAGCAACCTCATTGCAGGGCAGCTGAGGCAGTGAGGGGGCTCCTGTAGCCCCCCAGCCCGGAGCGTACCCCTGTGCAGCCCCTCACTGCGCCAGCATCCCAGCTCAGCCCCGTCCCCAGTGCTGGCTGAGAAATGCCCTCTCACACCGCTGCCTGGTTGCTGGATCCCTGCCCAGGCTGGGCTGCAGAAACTGCCTCAACTGTAATTTCTTACCTGCCAATATTTATTTTGTCCATTTCAGGGATACTTGAATCTTGCCTGTACAAACTACCAATACTATTGAAAAAAAAAATCTGCTTAATATACTTACATGACTGTAATTGGTTGCTATATCTACAAGGCTTTTAAAAGTTTTAATAGCCCCCAGATTGTCTCTCTTTATTCCCCCGCTGACTGGCTTTGCTTGCTATTTGTCCATCTCCTTTCTTCTGAGCAGAGCTTGGAGTCCCTCAGTTACCTCATCTGTGACGTCCTAGTGTGTCTCTACACCTCTGTCGCTGGCTGTGGCAGCTGCTGCTGAGCAAAGGCTGTGCAGCAGTGCCGCTTGAGAGCGGCTGGAAGTTGCTATCATCACCTGGCTACTACTGAATGTGGGTATGGCCAAGGAAGTTTTGGGGGGTGAGGCATGTTCAGTTTCCAGTATGGCGGTTTCAAATACCTATCCGAAGTGAGAACACGAGCTGCAGCTGCTGTGTGTGCAGCCCAGCCACGTTGCTCTGCTCATAGGTGACCTTACAGAAAGATCTCCTTCCACTGCATGCAAATTTTTGCTGAGCGGCGCAATTGCTGCTCCAGTTCACGCTTTGCAGAATCAGGGCCTGAAGGAGCACATAAGGCAGTGAATAATCTGAGGCCTGGACGTGCTACATCCAGGGCATCATGCAGAGCGTGCACACCCGCTGTTCACTCTGCCAGGACAGGGCAACAGCAAGTGTCCTTTCCTAAGAGATTTATATTTGTTTAGCTTCCAAACAGCCAGGCAGGCTGCATTGATGTATGCACTGAGTAACTTGGAGAAAGTCGTTTATGGTTTTATGTCACAGTAGTAAGAAAGGGACTGTGCAACCTCATGAGTCTGCAATAGTAGCTGAAAGGACAAGAAACTGGGTTAGAAGACCCAGGAAGACACAGCTATAGTCCTAACTCCACCTGGACATAGAGATGATAAAACCCTTGAAGTGTTTTTCTTCAGGGGTAGGGAAGAACTTAATTTATTCTCTTGCAAAAAATGCTACAGAAGTATGCCAAGAGCCAGTCGGGGTTATCCTCCTTCCTCCCTCCCGTCCCAGAGAGGGCCGTCTCCCATGGGACTGGGAGAGGAGCCAGGACCTGCTCAGTGCGGGTGCAAAGAGTAACATTGGACTTCATTATTGCTTGGGAGAGATTAAGAGGTCAACTAGGTGAGCTTCCCAGCCCAGCCACAAAGCTCATCTGACCAGAAGCCTGTCCCCAGGGTGGGTAAATTGTACTTTGTGTAGTCCAGTCAGACCAGATACCCTAAAGGTTACTGCTATGAAAAAGAAATCGTGCCTGATGAACCTAATCATTGAATTTCACCTGTCACAGCAATGCCTGTCAAAATGTAAAACCTGACAAGTCCTGAAAACTCCTCACTATGTATAAATTGATTAAGGGGTTAAGCAGATGCAAAGGGAATATGAATTGCTTGAAATCCCATGCTATTAACCCAGAAACACTGAGGGGGCTTGGTGCCAGGTCTTGAACCAGTTGACAGGCAATAATAAGCAACCATCTAGCTCCACTGACAGCTTTGAAGGCTGATGATATAATGAACTACAGGGATGTAGTTCAAGGATAAGGACATCTTCCTGAACAGAACAAGATGAAAATGAGCAGCATGGAGACTGCTGCAAAAATCAAATCCCAGTGATATAGTGGGAACAGCTGGCTAAAGCAGCAGGTGTCACTGAAATACTTTGGGGTCTCCAAACACTGGTCTTCCAACAGAAAGCTTAGTTGCTACAAAGCTATGCATACCACTAATTTCCAAAAATTCATTTAAGGTGGTGTGTTTATGGGCTTTTAGAAGCATTAGGCCCCGACTGTAAGGATGTAATTATCCTGGTGGTTATGTGTGAGTGAGGAGAGGTTTCACGCTTGTGTTGTTTTCCCCATGGCAGAACACTATCACCGAAGAAGAAGTTCAAATGATGAAGGAGCAATTCATGTCTGCCTATGATGTCACCAAAGATGGACGCTTGCAAATCCAAGAGGTATCTCTCCCCAACCCCAGCCCAGGATTTCTTTTACAGAAGGAGGGAGAATTAGGACCTAGAGAACGCTTGGGACATACAGGAGATAGAGCCTGGGTGGGGAGGAGGTGAGTCAAGGAGTACTACATTAGCCAGATGTCTTGTTTTGGGGTTTATTTCCAAGGCAAAAACATGCCCAGCTTGTATTTCCCATACTGGCTCAGCAGCCACCCAAGTTTTTTCATACCTTTATTCTCATGGTTTGGGTTTGTTTTGGTTTGTTTTTTTTAATGTGGGTTTTTTTCCAGCTTGCAAATATGATCTTGCCGGATGATGAGAACTTTCTGCTGCTTTTCCGACGGGAAACTCCCTTGGACAACAGCGTGGAATTCATGCGGGTCTGTATCTCCACATTGTCTCTTCTCCTTGCACACCAACAGCTTCTTCAATATGTACACTTCCACCCTTCATAGAACATAGCATGGGAAATATGCGGTTATTATGGAAGCAAAGCATGTTCTGACCTGTTCAGGTAGAGAAGGTTATACCATTTTACCCTGATGCATTATCCTGGCAGGGTGTGGGGTGGAATCTCCATAAGGTGGACCAACTGAGGAGCACAAACCCATAAAGTTTCCTTAACCGTGCCCAATCTCCCTCCACGCTCTGCCCCTAAGTGTCCCAGCACAGAATTTCAATTTTTCCAAGACTGCTTGCAGTTAATTTTATTTCACACTCAAACTGGGGACTTCTGCAGATTAATGGCCAGTTGTGTATGACCTTGACTTTTACTCAGGGCAATAAAAGAAGCTGCATGTACAAATTAGGTAAGAAACGCAGAGCAGTTTCTTAGTCTTTTCTTCCTTTTATAGACAGAGTGTCTGCATTAAATATGGGATAGCAGCATGTCACATGCGCAGCATCCAAATGCGAGGAAAAGCTATTGTGTGGAAAGTTTATTTTATTTTGTCTACAATTAATTAAATGTTGGATAATGCAACAGCTTGCTCATTATGGAAGTCCTGATTTGAATCTTTATGATCTATCACCCAAGCCGATGATTAACTGCAATATTTATGTAGTCATATCAATCTATCTCCATTCAGATCTGGCGCAGTTATGATGCTGATAGCAGTGGATTTATTTCAGCTGGCGAGCTCAAAGTAAGTTATTCTAACAAGTCTGTCTGGGCTTGATCTACAGCTCACTGATGTCAATGGGAGCCTTTCCATCAGCTTTACCAATTTGCTGCCTTTTTGTGTGGTTGATGAATGGCATTTCTAGGTTGTTCACGGTGAATTTAAAGACTGGGAACCCTCCAGCCTTCTGGCACAGCTGCAGGGACCCTGCTGGGAGGAATCATAGAATTATTTAGGTTGGAAAAGACTTTTAAGATCATCAAGTCCAATTGCAAACCTGACACTGCCAACTCCACCACTAAACCATGGCCCTAAACATCACATCTACACGTCTTTTAAATACTTCCAGGGATGGTGACTCAACCACTCTCCTCGGCAGCCTGTTCCAATGCTTGACAACCCTTTCAGTGAAGGAATTTTTCCTAATATCCAATCTAAACCTCCCCTGGCACAACCTGAGGTCATTTCCTCTTGTCCTATTGCTAACTACTTGGGATAAGAGACTGACAACAAACCTTGCTACAACCTCCTTTCAGGTGGTTGTAGAGAGTGATAAGGTCTCCCCTCAGCCTCCTCTTCTCCAGGCTGAACAATCCCAGTTCCCTCAGCCGCTCCTCATCAGACTTGTGCTCTAGACCCTTCACCAGCTTCCTTGTCCTTCTCTGGACACACTCCAGCACCTCAATGTCTTTCTTGTATTGAAGGGCCCAAAACTGGACACAGTATTCCAGGTGCGGCCTCACCAGTGCCGAGTACAGGGGGACAATCACCTCCCTGCTTCTGCTGGCCACACTATTCCTGATACAAGCCAGGAGCTAGGATGTTATTGGCCTTCTTGACCACCTGGGCACACTGTTGGCTCATATTCAGCCAGCTGTTGACCAACCCCCCCAGGTCCTTTTCCCCCAGGCAGCTTCCCAGCCACTCTTCCCCAAGCCTTATGGGGCTTCATTCTGCTCCCTGTCTCTGTCTTCCAGCTCAGGGGGCTGGGTGCTCTGAGAACAACTGGTCTTACTATTAAAGACTGAGGCAAAGAAGGCATTAAGTACTTCAGTCTTTTCTTCATCCTTTGTCACTATGTTTCCCCCCGCATCCAGTAAAAGATATAGGTTCTCCTTAGCCCTCCTTTTGTTGCTAATGTATTTACAGAAACATTTTTTATTGTCTTTTATGGCAGTAGACAGATTAAGTTCTAGTTGGGCTTTGGCCCTTCTAATTTTCTCCCTGCATAACCTCACAACATCCTTGTGGTCCTCCTGAGTTGCCTGCCCCTTGTCCCAAAGACCACAAGCTCTCATTTTTTTCATGATTTCCAGCCAAAGCTCTCTGTTCAGCCAGGCCGGTCTTCTTCCCCACCGGCTCATCTTTTGGCACACTGGGACAGCCTGCTCCTGTGCATTTAAGATTTCCTTCTTGAAGAATGTCCAGCCTTCCTGGACTCCTCTGCCCTCCGGAACTGCCTCCCAAGGGACTCTGTCAACCAGGCTCCTAAACAGGCCAAAGTCTGCCCTCCAGAAGTCCAAGGTAGCTGTTCTGCTGACCCCCTCCTTACTTCTCCAAGAATTGAAAACTCCATCATTTCATGATCACTACGCCCAAGACAGCCTCCAACCACCACATCATTCACAAGTCCTTCCCTGTTCACAAACAGCAGGTCCAGTGGGGTGCCCTCCCTAGCTGGCTCACTCATCAGGTCAGGAAGTTGTCTTCCACACACTCCAGGAACCTCCTGGACTGTTTCCTCTCTGCTGTACTGTATTTCCAGCAGATATCTGGTAAGTTCAAGTCCCCCATGAGAACAAGGGCTAGCAATTGTGAGACTTCTCCCAGCTGCTTATAGAATATTGCATCTGTCTCTTCTTCCTGATTGGGTGGTCTATAACAGACTCCCGCCATGATGTCTGCCTTGTTGGCCTTCCCCCTGATTCTTACCCATAAACACTCAACCCTTTCATCACCATTGTCAAGCTCTAGACAGTCAAAACACTCCTTAACATACTGTCCTGGTTTAGCCCCAGCCAGCAACTCAGCACCACGCAGCCGCTCGCTCACTCCCCCTACCCCGATGGGATGGGGGAGAGAATCGGAGGAGTAAGAGTGAGAAACACTCCTGGGTTGAGATAAGAACAGTTTAATAATTGAAATAAAGTAAAATAGGAATGCTAATAGTAACAGTATAATAATGATAATAATAATAATGATACACGAAGCAAGTGATGCACAATGCAATTGCTCACCACCCGCCGACCGATACTCAGACAGTTCCCGAGCAGCAATCGCTGCTCCCTGGCCAACCCCCCCCAGTTTCTATACTGAGCATGACGTCATATGGTATGGAATAGCCCTTTGGGCAGTTTGGATCAACTATCCTGGCTGTGCCCCCTCCCAGTTTCTTGTGCGCCTGGCAGAGCATGGGAAGCTGAAAAAGTCCTTGGCTAGCATAAGCAGTACTCAGCAACAACTAAAAACATCAGCATGTTATCAACATTCTTCTCCTACTAAATCCAAAACTATGCCTGCTATGCCACTATGCCTGCTGCTAGGAAGAAAATTAACTCTATCCCAGCCGAAACCAGGACACATACAAAGCTACCCCACCACTTCTCCTTCCTTGTCTATCAGTTCTGAAGTTTATAGCCATCCATTGCAGCACTCCAGTTGTGTGAGTCACCCCACCGTGTTTCCATGATAGCAACTATATCATAGTTTTCCCATGTCTTCCAGCTCCTCCTGTTTGCTGCCCACACTGCATATATTGGTGTAGATGCAATTCAGTTGGGCTATTGATCCCGTCATCTTTTTTGGGGGAGAAGCCCTAATTCCTACATGACCATTCTCAGGCACTTCCATGGTTTCTAAGACATCAATAAGCCCTGTGACTTTGCTGCTGCGTGTATCTCCATCCCCTACCTTCACTAAGATGACAGACTGAAGGACCTCGCTAGCATACCGTCCCTCAAACATTGGCGGGCTGCCCCCAGGCTTATCTCTAGCCTGGTTTTATCCCTTCCCCCTTCAAATCAGGAAGGATGTTCTGCTGTTGCCCTTGCTGTCTTGTTTCCCCCTTGCCTCATCGCATGACCCCACTTGTCTCCATGCCCCCCAAGGAGCCCCCCAAGCATGCCCCAACTTGGCTTTACACCTGTGCCTCTCCCAGCCATACAGAGCCAAAGCCATTGGGTTTTACTAATGGGGTTTCTTCATAACCTCTTCCTGAGTCTACAGATTTTCTGAACACTGATTTTTTTTTTTTCATAGCTCAGGCTGTTGAGGCAGAAGCCTGTTCAGAAACCGGCAGGGAACAGAAGTCCATCTCTGGGCTGCAGACCCTGCGCTGACCTCTCGGCGCGTGGCTCCAGCCTGAGCCCCACCAGAGATGTGAGCGGATGCTGAAGTGTTTTGCTGAATGGCAAATATTTTGATTTGAGATCAGTTAGCAAATATTGCAGGACTTATGTTATCTTTTGCTTATTTTGTGGGTTAATTATGACTTATTCCACTATGCCTTCTCTGGGGAAATTTGGTTATTTTCTACTTTATTTGAAAAAATATGTTTTGACTAGGAATATGTGAACTTTATGTGAAATTGAAGACACTAGTACTAATCAGGAATGTGAAATTAGATTCATGTAACTGTCCTGAATTTGGATCAAATTTCTTACTGTTATTTCTTGAATTTGCTCTAAAAAGTAAACTTTGTCTCTTTCCTAACTACAGGATTTCCTGCGTGATCTCTTTTTGCAGCATAACAAGACGGTTGCTGAAGTAAAGCTGGAAGAATATACTGATACCATGGTAAGAAAAGAGTGTTAATATTGTTTAGATTATAGTACTGCCTAAAAATTTCCTTCAGGGTCAACGTCTATAGGGCCATAAATGCCCTTTTAAAAGGTGTATCTTCTCCAAAAGATTCCTGTGGAAAGTTAGCACATGTTGCTGCTGTTTCTTTGCACTGTACTGGACATCAGCTGTGAACAGCATTTCATATATTTTTGAGTTGAATTTTTTATTGTGAGAAAATAGCTCGACTTTACACCAAAGCAAACTGAGATCTAAATCCATTTAAAAAAAAGGAGTTTAGGTGTATCTTCAGGGTACGTTCAGCCTCAGCCAGACCTCCAGCTCCTTTCCTCCCTCCCTCCTAGCAAATCCTTTTGCCCCCAAGACACGCAGGTATCTGGCTCCTCTGCTCTGCAAAGCCCAGCAAGCTTTGCTGGCTCCCAGCTGCTTCCCTGAAAGGCTGGCAGGTTGCAAGCTTCAACTCTTCCTCTGCCTTATCACAATATAGCTTTTATCCTGCAATCAGCAACATAATATTTGGTGTAAATTTAGCATCAGTCACCTGGATTTCAGAGCAGCTTATATCTAATCATCTAAAAACAAGAAAAGAAAAGAAAAAAATAGCTCATTTCTAATGTCATTCTCAAGGGTATAATTTGAGTTCCACTAGCACACATCTACCATTGCAATTTTCTAAATGATTTTTCAGATGGGACTGCCTTGATTCTTGTTACAAAATCTGTGTTTGTACCTGAAGAACAGCTTGGTATGCAAGCAGACAAGGAGCTGCCCACATATTTTGCAATACCGTGTTATGTATGCATGATGCATCTTTGCCTAGAAATGTGACCCTTTAGAGCAAAGTGAAAAACTGCACCATTACAGAAGAGTGTAGATTTTTTTTTTCATATTTATAGGCGAGTGAAGGGAGAGGAATGCAAGCTACAGAAATTATTTTCCAACTGGCAGAGCTTGAAAACAATAAAACCCCATAAACTACGGCTAGAACAAACCCCTTCCTGGTAGTGCTTGCAGGTAGCAAATAGCTTTTATGCTGCTCTGTTAAGGTTTCCATCCCCCGTGGCTAATCTCTGGCCAGGTGCTGGGAAACAGGTGATCTGAAGCTTGTAGGCATTGGATGGTTCATTTCCTCCAACTTCTTTCCTCTTCCAATAATTTCCCAAGAAAGATCTGTGATTTCTGCTGCCCCAGTGGAGCTAGATATCAATCCAGCCCGGGGCTGACAGCCAGGATGTCTAGTTTCTTCTCCCATGGTTTTTTTATAGATTGGCTTTGTATCTTCGGAGAGGCAGTTTAGTCTCTACGCTACAGAATAAAATTTGATCTGGGAAAAAGGATGCTTTGTATATCTGGGGAAATCTACAATCTGAAATGCGAATCTAGCTTGTGAGGACAAAAGTTTGCAAAGCTGCAATGCCAAAAGAATCAGGGATGTTAAAGGTTATTAGAAAATGAGGGTAAGGCAGATGATTTTTTTTTTCCACTTGCAATTCTTTGCTATAAACTGAAGATCAAGGATGTTTACAAACATACCTGATCCCAAGAGCTAAGGCAGGATGTGAAATTATAACATGCATAATCTTACCCTGCGATATCCTGTAGTAAAATAGAGTATATGAATTCTGTACATCACAGCAATGTATCCACATGGACAGCATCTCTATAGTAGCTGCATGAAGTGGTTGCACGGGAACTTACCTGAAATAGGAGGGCAAAATTGCAACAGGAGGGGAAGAAAGGGAAGAAAAATTCAGTCTTACATTTGCAGTGCTAGATTAAAAACAGAGAATTGACTCAAGGAGCCAAGAGCAAAGGTATGATGTCAAGGGCCAGGGCAATGAGAGCTCTTTGCTTTCTCTCTCTGCTTTCCACGTGGAGTAGGGAGCTGCTGAAGTGCAGAGTCCCGACGGGACTCCCACCACCATCGTCTGGGAAAACAGGGGGCAGTGGCCCTTGCATTTCATTCCTGAGGCTTTCACAGACTTGCTATTGTATCATTAGCAACCAGCAGCACCAATCTCTTTACTGCAGAGTAGAAATACTTGTATTTCTCTCCCCTATTACTTTGCTCCCACCCTTTTCTCTGTGCAAGGTCTTCGGCACAAGTACCTGTTTCTGCTGCTCACAGCTACAGGGTCTCTCAGGGTGGCCCACTGATCCTACTCAGGACTTTCAAGTGCCACTGTAATAACATTCAGTTGAAATAAGCTGTGTCCCAAGGAGCAGTAAACCCATCTGTCTCCATGGGACTTTACAGATCTCTGCCCTCTCTTCTGTACATCCACAGCTGGCTGCATACATCTTGAGCAGCTACTGATATGCTGAGTGGACCCTAGAGCCTTCTGGAGATAGGGATAAAGGGGAAAAGATAGAAATTATCATTTTAAAGAAGCTAGCCCAGGCATGGAGGAAAAAAAGAAAAAAGCAATTTATGATTCTGTGCTGGGTATTTGCAGCTTTAGCTTGTGAGAGGTGTGAGCAGCTATCATACCAACCAGAGCATGCTAAATACTTGCCGCTTACTTATGCTGCTATGAATGATCTTACACCACATTAAAAAAAGTTGGGAAGAGGGAGAAAGTATTTCTTTTGGAAGAGATTGGTTGACTCCAGAAAGGAACATCACTTTATCGGGTTGCTTAGAAGCCATTTCTTAAGAGGCTATTCTGTTTCCTTGTGACCTTGACATCATCTCTTCAGAGAACGCTGATATAGATCAGGGATTTGATGAAACCTTGGAAAGAAAACAGATAGCGAACACGTTGGCATTGCACAAGCCCCGTGAGTCTGCTAAATCAAATCTTAAAGAGCACTAAAGCCACTGGGGAGAGCCACAAAAGAAGAACATTTGAATTCTTAAGACTCTTCACGAGGGAATTAAAGTAGCAACCCTGTGCTGAGGAAGCCCCTTTGCAGGCAGAGTTCTTGTTAGTTTTCGTGCCTATGTATATATATGTTTGTATTAATAGTCATTAAGTGTGTATTAATATTTATTTATATGTACCTACTTGCATGAGAAAATACATAGTCATGTGCAGTTCTGAACCCTTGAAAACAGTCTGTGGGTTTGTTGTCTTCCCATGGGCATAGACCAAGAGCTGTCAGCAGGGAGCAGGTGCTTGGAGACAGAAACAAAACCTTGTATTGCTCTGAGCCTCTCCAGGCCATGAGAAGATGCCCCAGGGGTCCTGCAATGTGTGCTCTGGGAGGTGGGGTGGGCATAGCTGAAAATGGAGGTTTTTAAAAGCATGGTGGGAATATTCTGCCTTCCTGAAATATCACAAGCTGGAGAAATTAAAGCTTGTCCCCTTACTGCTTCACAATGAGAAGGAGGATGTGGAGGATGACAGCAGTACTAACAGCCTTTCCCAATCCCTCTCCACGTCCCCTCAGCCCCCCAGGTCAAGCTGTTATTGAACACCGATGAACACCCAGCTCACGTGTGCATTTGACAAAATTTTGCCATGAGTGACAGCTTCCATACCTGTGCATGCACATAGCTGTGTACTTAAGCAAAATATTGTAAATGAATATGAACCAGATTTAAGACATAGTTTCTGATGAAATTAAGTATTCATACTTTTTTCTTCTATAAGAACAAAATTCTCACTCAGCTTTTCCATCTTGGCATATGTTATGACCTTGTTCATAGAAACACTGATAGTTCACACCTTCCCAGATAGCAGCATGCTACTTCTAGTTTGTAATCCCAATGCCTGCAAGCCATGTGCAGGGAAAGCTCATTATTGAGGCAAACTTCAGCAAATTAAGTTATATATACTGGTGAAACAGTCACACATGCAACACTGACATTCACTTTTTGCATTGCCTTATGTTGATAATATCAGACTGAGCATAAACACGTCCTTTAATTTGAGCATTATTATACTGCAGCAAAATGTAAAGGATAACCTGCCGCCCCCACCAAGTCAGCATGCCATCTTTGCCCACCACAAGCTAAAATTCTAGAGAGGCAATAATATAAGTGCAGGGAGTAATAATTCAACAAGCACTGGTCATGAACTACAGCATTTGAAAGTTAGTAGATGGAGATGGCTGAGGTTGAAGTCTTAGCCCCAGAGAAGTCAATACAGAAATCCTCCCAGGTGTAAGTGGGTTACAGCTGTGCCAGGGTTTTGCTGTGCTTATCTGCAAAGGTTGTCCTGAGGACTGAGCTACGTACCCCGAGCAAGCGAGCCTGCAGCTGACTAGCTGAGGGCTCCTCATCTTCTCAGTGCAAAGGGGAACAGGTTGACTTCTCTCTTCTTCATCTGAAGATGGTTTGTGTCCATGAGTATGCATTGTGGACTACCCTCATTGTACACGGGGGGATTTCTGATGTTTTTGTGGCTGCTGCCTGTCCCCTCTGCAAGGACAATGCTAGAGGCTCAGCCTGGTCACTACTTTGGCTGTGAAAGCCTGTCTGTCTCTGCTCAGTGCCAATGCCAGTGTACTTCTGTAAGGGAAAGAAAAGTTAGAGCACAGAAAATCCAGGTGATTTAGCCCCTTAACACCTTACTGGCCAAGCTAGTTTATCTGTGTTAATGAAGTCTCTTATGAAGAAGAGACTCTCAAAGAAGAGTCTCAAAAAAATGGTGTAATAATAGAAAGACAAATCTTTGCTGTACTGACAAAAGACTAAACAGAGTTTGTTATGTTTGTTGACACACTGAGCAAACTTCCCAAAGCCCTAGAAATATGGTAGGAGTGGAGTAAAGCTTAAAAGACTGGTTGCCTAAAGGACCAGTCTTTGTACATCCCTTCTCCTGGTAGTGGTCCATGCTGGCCTCCCTCCCAGGCGGCTCCGTAAGGATGCCATGACTCCCAAGAGACTGCATCCCCAGTGATGCACTGACACTGCAACCATCACATCTCCTAACACCAGCCACCACTATTGCCGCCCCGCCATCTCCAGAGAGCTTCCTTCTGGCTTTGGGTGGGTGCAATTCCTCTTGTTGCTTTGCTGCGTGTGATAGAGGGCCATACACAGCTGATGAACACAATGGAGGGAAATCTGCCACCCATGTCCCTTCTAGACTTAATCCCTGTGGTGCTGTCACCTCCAGTTTTGCACCACACTTGCTGTAGCATAAGCCAGGGGAAGCAGAAAATTCCATTTAAGCTCAAACTTCATTTCTGAAGATCAAAACCAACAGAATTCAGGAGCCTGCAGGCTTTTGAAAACCCCAGCAGATAACACCTTGGTCTTTTAGGAACCAAAACACTCTTAGAAATCCTGCACTAAGCGACTCATCTAGACTACACAGGCAATCTGGTCAGGCAGAGCACTGAGCTTTTGTCCCAAGGGCACCTCGCCAGCCACAGGGCCCTCCTGTTGCTCTGCAAAAGCCTTTGTGCCCCCGTCCTTCCCTAAGGAAAGAAGCCATAGGCAGTCCTGCAGGTCGGGCACATGCCTGTCTTTATATACCCTCAATAACTTTTGTACTCACTGGCCAGTTTTAGTTACAGCTGTCAGGTATAGATGCCCCCGATGTATATATTTGTGAGAGCAGAGGTCAGGCAAGAGCCAGCTCTTCCCATGTCCCACCTGAGGGCTGACACACTTTATTACATGCAGAGAACCAGAACCAGAGAAGGTTTAAAAGCAGGCTTTAGTGACTCCACTGATCACAGAACTATTTATTTTGGTTGTTTACTTCTCTCCTTATCTCTGTCACGGAAAATAATTCAGATTTATAATCTTACATTGCTCTTCAAAGCATGTGTGTGTGTCATATCCTGGTGTTTCAGTGGCTTTTTTACAACACTGGGCTGGGAAAGCAGAGATATTTCCTTTGCTGAATTCAAAGCCAATGGCAGTTTTTATTTCACACTTAAAAAAAAGGAGATGTAACAACTCTTATTTTGCAAACGCAGATCTTACTTATGCTCTGTCTGCCTCAGAGTGCATGGACTACGTTCAAACAAACAGAACTAAGACTTCCCTGGTGCACTGCCATTAAAATGTCAGTGAATTAATTTGTGCAAACACTTTAAAACATGGGGTAGCTTGACAGTAAAATAAATGCACCATTTCATAAAGCATACTGCTAGATGCAACAAAGCTTTTAGTAAAACTGAGTGCTATTTAAACATGCCAGACCTCATCCTTAACCACATTGAGATGTTTCATATCAGCCTGGCAGCATAAATATACCTTTCAAGAGGGTAAACTGAAAATCCATCAAGTTTAACATACCAAGATGGTGTGTAAAGGCAAAAGTTTAAATTAGAAACAATGTCATAACAATTCCAAATATCTACTTCTCCCATGATGTACGCTTTGTCATATGGGGTGAGTACCCTCTGTCATTTTTTGTGTACTTATGTACACAATTAGCAGATCAGATCAATGCTTGAAATTTGAAAGTTTAATTAAGAAATGTTTCCCCAGGCTTTTCGCAAGTAATGCAGCCTGAGATTGTCATGTAGTGGGTATGCATGAGCTCCAGTTGTCCAGATAATATGATTAGGTCTATCTTATTAGCTGTGGTACCTGAACTAATTCAGTGAACATTATTCCATTTT